TGGCCACAAATTCTCAAACTCCGGCACTTCTTCAGCATCTACACTCCGCACTGAAACCCAGAACAACGCATTCAAACTCACAAACCTCACCACACCAACCCCCGCACACAACCCTAAACCCTGCACCCTAGGAGCTAGACTCTAGAGAAATAAACCCTAGACCCTAGATCCTAAACCCTAAACCCTAGACCCTAAAGATACGTCTCCTGAGGCAGAGGCACCCTGCCCATAACATATTATTTGTCACATATCCTGAGGGGGCCAAATGCTGAACTATATAAACTGCTGGTTCTAGGAATAACAACTCACCAACCTCCCCTTGCTGTTCTGTTACAGCGTCCTTCTCTGCTGCTTGATCCTCGGGTCTATCACAGACGGTAGCAGCAGCGTGCTTGTCCTCCTTTCCTTCTGTTGCTGCAGCAGCAGCTGCAGCAGCAGCTGCATCTGCCTGCTGCGCAGCAGTAAACTTTGCCCTGAAACGCTCTCTAAACTTCTCCCAGCAACCCTCGACCAAAGCAGCAGCGCGACAGAAAGGAGTATCCGGGTGGTTGTATAGCCGACAATTTGAAACGATCAGTGCAATATCTTTATCAAACTCAGAAAACTCTGCATCCATCACACAACACAACTCATTCGAATTCAGAAAACTCTGAATTCCTCATACAAAAATATGAATTCAGAAAACTCTGAATTCATCATACAAAAATATGAATTCAGAAAGCTCTGAATTCCTCATACAAAAACATGGATTCAGAAAGCTCCGAATTCATCATACAAAAACATGAATTCAGAAAGCTCTGAATTCCTCATACAAAAACATGAATTCAGAAAACTCTGAATTCCTCATACAAAAACGTGAATTCAGAAAACTCTGAATTCGTCAGATAACACAACTTTATCGAATTCAAAAAGATCTGAATTAGCATAAAGCACAGCTTATTCGCATTCAGAAAAACCTAAGAAAGTGTTGTCGTCAATGCAGCAAAATATGAATTCATCACACAAAAAAAAACAATAAATTCAGAAAAATATGTATTCACCACATTAAAAAAGTTTATCAATGCAGAAAAATTTGCATTCAACATCAAACTCATAAAAATCTGAATTCAGCACGAAGCAGAATTTTATAACTTTATAAGGCAATAGAAAAGAAAGCACAAACCACAACAACAAACCACAAACAACAAATAACAATAAAATAACACTTTTTTCAGGGGTTATTAAGAGGAGAGAAAGGAAGAGTATGAGAGAAAACGAAACAGACGAAAAAAAAAGAAACAGAGAGAAAAAAAAAAAACTAACCTTGATAAACACCATTCTCTATTTTCTCTCTCATGGCTTCAAAATGCATTGGGTTTCTTACAACAAGGTGATAGTCTGGGACGAGTTTCGAGTCAACAGCAACAGCAAAAAACTGCTTCTTATCTTTTTTCTTTATGCGCATGAGGGCCTCCAGCAACACCTGCCGAGAGCGTGAGCTGCAGGGGGGCCCCCCGACACTCTCGGGGGCCCCTGGGGGCCCCGTTACCCCCGAGTCTGATCCAACCCCCCAGGGTAAACCGCTGCGAGGAGCATCAGCTGAGCTCCGTGTTACTGGTGCTGCACCCGGCAAGCCTGCGGCGTTCAGCACACGCAACCCCAGCTGTATAGAAAGCTTTATGGTATTCATGTAACAAACCATAATTACAAAAAACAAAACAAAACAAAACAAAAGAAAGGAAAGGATATGAGGAGGAGGAGGAGGAAGGGGCCCAACTCACGACGTCGCTGCTGCAGCATCGCAGCCCTTGCTGCTGCTGCTGCTCGCGTTGAAGGAGCATCTGCTGCCCCTGCTGCAGGCCAGCGGCGGGGCCCCCCGCCACCGGTGGGGCCCCTTCGGGTTGACGTTCTGCTGCGTGCTGCTGTTGAGGGGGGCCCCCTCCCCAAGACAGGCCATGGGCTGCCAAGACCCGAAGGAGCCGGAAGGGGGGGCCCCTTGACCCCGAGGCCCCCAACGGCACCTCCTTCGAACGCCATAGCTGCAGCAGAGCCCCTGGGGCCCTGGGGCCCCCCTCCTCGACGTTTGCTGCTGCGGGTTTGGCTGTTGTTTTGTTGAAGCTGCTGCTGAAGAAGGGGAGGGGAAAGCAGGGCTCGAGAGAACTCTTTTCTCCTGATCAGAAGTGGTACAACAAAGGAGAAATTAAGAAGTGGAATGATGGGCCATCGATGGCTTCAGAGCCATTGAGCCGCCCTGTGGCTGCTATTGCAACAACAGCAGCAGCAGCAGCAGCTGCTGCTGCTGCTGCTGTTGCTGCTGTTGCTGCTGCTGGTGTTCTCTGTTGCGTCCGTTGCATACAGAATTGCTTAACCCGGAACTCTGCCTCGTTTATAAAACAAATCCTTCGTTGGTGATGAGAGCAGTTGCTGCTGCTGCTGCTGCTGCTGCTGCTACTCTTTCTGAATAACCCAGCGGTCTCGTGCAGCAGCGGGGAGGATAGGGCATAAAGAGGGTTCTCCCAAACCCTAAACCCTGTTATCTAAAACCTAATATCTAAACCCCCAAAAGGAGTTTATTTATTCGTTAAGAAACACAGATGAAAGCAGACTCGGGGGCCCCCCCTGCATCCCTTGGGGGCCGTCGGTTGCTGCTGCGGCGCGCAGCCGTCGCTGGGGGCCCCCCCCCAGTGTAGAGAGGCAAACACTTGTATGCACATAATTATTTGTTTGAACTGCTTTATGATGTATAAATGCAATAAATTACATATTTGGAGACGAAAATATACTAAAAATTCACCCAAGTGCTTTCGGTTACCGCCTTTGGCTTGCAGCGCAACCTGTGCGTGTGCTGCATTACTGAGGTGTACGCACACCTGATATGATGCTTGATTTGTCTGTTGAAACATATGTATATTCACTTTAACTTATTTCTCTATACTATGGATTCCGCCTTCGCCTAGAGAGGGCGGCGGGGGCTCGTAGCTGCTGACGCCATCACCGAAGCTACACCTGTTGNTCCGCCTTCGCCTAGAGAGGGCGGCGGGGGCTCGTAGCTGCTGACGCCATCACCGAAGCTACACCTGTTGGTGAGAGTTTTCCGTCTAGGAGCAGCAATAGCGAGAAGATTTCAGAAGTCAGTTGTTTTATTCAGAGTTTCAGAACTCTTCTGCAAACACGAGGACCCAAGACAGCACCAGGGCCCCCCTACGGGCCAGGGGGCCCCAGTACAACAGCCCGGCGTTGTGCGGTGCAGGAGCTGCTGCTGCAGCTTCGTGTGTGAGCAGCAGCAGGTGCAGCAGCTGCAGCACTCAGAGCACTCGCAGCAGAGTGAGCTGCAGCAGCAGGAGCAGCACGGGTATCAGGCCGAGCTGCAGCATCAACAGCAGCAGACGCAGCAGGTGTATAAGCCTAAAGAAGCGCAGCCATTGGGGTGTCAGCAGACACAGCAGCAGCACAAAGATGCATGACCTGGAGGCCCCCTTGAGCCCCCATACTCCTCTCGTTTCAACAGCAGCAGCTCCTCGTGCTGCTATGCAGAACGACGATGGGGGTTCCCCGTTTCTNCTCCTCTCGTTTCAACAGCAGCAGCTCCTCGTGCTGCTATGCAGAACGACGATGGGGGTTCCCCGTTTCTGCTGCCGGTATCTCAGCAGCAGCAGCAGCAGCAGTTGCAGCAGCAGCTGCAGCAGCAGCAGCAGCAGGAATATGAAGAAGTAGAAGGGGGTTTACAGTACCAGCATGAAGCTGTAGATGTAGATACACCTGGGGCCCCCCAGCAGCAGACAGTACCCTTGGCTCCTTACCCTCGTCCTTATGATTCATGTTGGCGTTTATTTTTTTTATTGTTTGTTGCTGCTGGCCCCTTTCTGGGAATGTTATTATTTCTGAGTGTATTAAAGAATGTGGGAGCAGCAATGCTCTTCATGCACTGGATATGTATGGTGCTGGCTCCTGCGGTGTACATACACTGCGCTAGCGACGGCTGGGCTTACTGTAAGCATGTGTATGCATGTCAGGGCCCCCGGGGGGGTCGGTGGGGTAAGCAGGCCCCCTGGGCGTGTATATCTTTTGTGGGTGGTGCTGCTGCAGTGTATGTAGGGTTTAGGTGTTTACGTGTGGTGGTTTCTGCTGCTGGTGGGGGAGATATGTTGCAGCAGATGGAGCCTAGATTGATGGAGACAGGTATGGGGGGCCCCCTTTATATTTCTGTTTTACTTTCTATTTATTTTATTATAGTTAACCCTA